CTGCGGATATTATTCACAAAATCAAGCCATTATATGCTGATTTAAGTAAAGATTCTGAATTAGTAAAGTGTCTTCATGGCAAAACCCAGAATTGCAACGAGAGTTTTAATAATTTAATATGGGATAGATTACCAAAAAGTAATTATGTTGGTTTAGCCAGTTTAGAGTTTGGAGTGTACGATGCTGTTGCAAATTATAACATCGGTATGAAGTCTGTCATTTTAATTTATGAAAAACTAAATATGAAACCAGGGCATTTTACTTTAGCTGGTTGCAGACTCATAAACAAAAAACGAATAAAACTATTATTATTTAAATCGAGTGAAAGTTTTAAGATGAAACGAAAGATGGTACGACGTCAACGATTATCAAAGGATGATCATCAAAAGTCACTAGAAAAGTCCAAGGAATATTATGAATCTGGTAGTTTTTGAAATATTCTTTTAAAAAGTTATTTTTTTAAAAATATTTTTATGAAATGAACGATAATTTATGATTTTATTTTTTGTTTTGTGTTTTCTGAGAATTTAATTTTTAAACACGCCGGGAAAAAAATCTTGAAAAGTATACATGCTATCATGATGAAATTTTCAGGGATCGTTCATTTTACCAATGTTTATGATATGAGCGGAGTAGAATTTCTCATACGACTTAAGATTTTGAGTTTTTTAGTTTTTTTCTTTGTATTTTAACCTTTTTTTTAATAATCTAATTTGACTGTAGCTTTTTATCAAAAAATAATTTTTATTCAAAAATCTGCTTCGCTCATATCACAAATTTACATATTTAGAACAGTTCTACAAAATTTCATTGACACTCCTTTACTCATAATTCTTATTTTTTTTACAGCGTAAACACAGTTTTTGTGGGTTTTTTAGCTAATTTTTTGAGTTTCCATAGCAACGAACCACCATTTTATGTATTTTTTGGTATTTTTAATGTCAGTATAATATTTACAATATGACTAAAGAAAAAGTTACTTTATATGTGTTGTTTTGAAATTTGAGGGTAGTTGCCCCTTAAGCAATGAAGAACTACTTGAAAAGTGTCTACACGGTCTTACACAAAACAATAATGAAGCATTAAATGCTATAATCTGGAAACGATGCCCCAAACATATTTTTGTAAATAGAAGTATTATTGAAATGTTAGTAAATTCTGCAATTATTAATTTTAATGAAGGTACCATGGAATTATTGATGTTTTAAAAAATTTGGGAATAAGTTTTGGACATTTTACTCATATCGGATTGATTAACCGTGATAAATGCAGAATTAAAAAATGTACAATCAAGTCTTCACTTACTGCAAAATCCCAACGACAGAAGTTGCGCCACCAAAAAAAAGAGTTTAATGATAGGGAAGCTCAGTTAGAACCATGCCAAGCTTATTCTTGTGGATTTTATTAGTTTTTCATACTTTATAGTTTACTTTTTTTTATCAAATCTTCTTTTGCGTTTTTCTTTGTTTTTGATTTTTGTTAAACATGGTGTTATTGAAAACACGATATATTATGAAGTAGTAAAGCAAATCACTTCAAATTTTCAGGAAATGTTTATTATATTATTTTGTAGGGAATGACATTTCTAAATTCTAAAATTATTCTCCCATCTCCTTATTTATTAGTTTTAAGGGGCTATCCCCCCATAAAATTTCAAAATTTTTAATTTTTTTTTTTTTTTTAATTTTAACTCTTTCAAACTATGCAGAATCATAAAATTTGTTTTGGATGTATCAGATCAATCTTTAACTATCTTAAATTGTCTATTTAAGTTAACCACCTCTTAAGTAATTTCCTTAGCAACGCCATAGCAACGCACTTAAACAATTTTATACACCATACTTTTACCTTAATTTCATCCAAAATAGTGTTACACTTGCAATGCATAAGCTTGAACAACTTCTTGATGCGTTTTTCTGGAATTTACCAATACCTTGGTACATCAAGTACGACAATATTCTTCAGTTCAGTCAGTTCTTGAAATTTTATTAGGTTAGTTTAATTAGTAAAAATGGGAAAAGCTTGTCGAGTTAAGAAATGTACACAAACTCATAAAAAAAGGAAAAGTTATATGGGAAATGTTCAAAATTCTGTTAATACTGTTATTGTATCTGATAGTACTAATATCGAATTGCCGACAATAAATCCAAGTGCCCCTAACATCACTTGTGTTACTGAACCAATTTTCGAAAATCCACCTAATTTATCAGCTTCAGCTCATAAAATCGAAAACTTAAAAGATAAAATTATTTCAAAACCTGCCATATCTGGTTATCGTATAATTTATGTTGCTGTTTTAATGTCTATTTTAAGTTCTGTTTTGTGTCCAGAGTGTGGTTGTTCAACAATCTCACTAAGTGAGAGATATACTCAACGACGTGGTTTATCTTCCTTACTATATCTTAAGTGTATGAAAAGAGCTTGTAACCATTTTCAAAAGTTCTACACTTCTAACTATGACAAATATAAAAGGATTTGATATCAATAAACAAGTAATTTATTGTATGCGATTATTGGGTCATGGATATGCAGGCATCAAAAAATTTTGTACCATTATGAATCTACCTAAGCTAATGAACAAAAACAATTTTGAAAAACTGATAAAAGTAATTTCAAAAGCTGTTAAAAATGTAGCAGAATGAACAATGTTAAATGCTGCTAATAAATTGCAAAATACAGCTTTGAAAGTAACCGATATTTGTTTATCTTGCGATGGAACATGGCAAAAACAAGGATACTCATTACTCAACGGAGTCTTTTCTGCCATCTCTACTGCTAGTGGCAAAATTTTAAATGTTGAAATCATGTCCAGATATTGTAAAGGTTGTAATTTAACTCAAAGCCTCCAAAAATCTGATCCAACTGGTGTTGGCATCACTATTTCATGTTGCTTCCTCAAAAAATAATAGCTTACATTTGCCACACTGCCTCACTGGTGCAGACAGCTGGTGCAAATACAATGCCAATAAAATAAATAAGACATCAACCTATAAGCCGGAACCGGGTTTACCAATGGATGTCATAATGAAAGTAAGAACTATATTTAAAGATTTAAGGAAAGACATTGAGTTACAAAAATGTTTGCAAGGTAAGACACAAAATGCCAATGAGTCTTTTTATGGAAGATTTGGAAGCGTATACCAAAACAAACATTTGTATCACTTACCCAATTAACAATTAGTGTATATGATGCTGTTGCCAATTTTAATATTGGAGCAAAAGCATCTATTGATATTTTGAAGTAACTGGACATGGAACCAGGCTTTCATATGATTGCAGGATGCAAATCATTAAATAATGAAAGATTACAAAAAGCAGAAATTAGAATGAACCCTGTTAAAAAGTTAAGAAGGCAAGTATTACGTGCCAAGAAACTGAAGAAGAATGAGAAAATAATTGAAAAAGAAGGTGACTTGTATGTTCCTGGTGGATTTTGAAAATTTTGTTTATTTTTTAACAGTTTTTATGAAAAAAATTGTATTGTTTTCAAAAATTTTAACTTAAATTGTCTTTTTCTCAAAATAGAAATTTGTGCACGCCGGCCAAATTATCTGGAGAACCGTATTACATTTTTGTATGAAATTTTCAGGAAGTGTTTATCATGTTATACTCTGTGAAATGAATGGATTGGAATTTATTTATTTTATTAAAAATATATATATATGACCTAAAATCGATGAAAATTTTGACCATGATCTTTGATTGCGCCATTTTGATGATGGCAAAATGTTATGAAAAATCTGATCCATTCATTTCACAGCCCTACTTTATGATAATATTGTATTAAAATTTTAAAAGGTAAATATGTACACATATTCTTATATTTTGGCCAGCGTGAAGTTATTTTTTGGTCATTTTAGGGGTATTTTTTGGTTACCAAGGAAACCGCCAATTTTTTTTTAATTTTTTTTTTAAAAAGGTTTATATTTTACTAAAACCTTGAAACCCATAACATTTTTTTTTTAAATACTTAGATTTAAAAACAGAGGGGGGTAGCCCCTTAAAGCCTAAAAAAAATTTAGAATATTTGGTGGTGTACCACCTTAAGTGAGGATTTTATTATATACCGCAGTTACATTATAAAAAATCTTGATAGGCATATTAGATTTTAAAATAAATTAAAGATTGCTTATAAGTTCTACAGTAATATCTCTTTCGCAGATCAGATATTTTACGGAAATACGTTGATTGTTTCAACTAATAACAATTTTTTTGAAAAGTACTCTAACTACTTTATATCTTTCTGTATAAAATTGACGAAACAAGAATAGTTAAATTCGAATTTCCAGCTAATCTAATATTACTTTATGTACTCTTAAGTCCTTACTAAAAGGGGAGAAGAGGGGAATACCAATTTAGTAAATCTCGATTTATCGAAATTAGCTTTAGGTTTATTTGTAAAACTTACACCAGTATAATTTAGATATTATTATAATATAGATAAAAGTATGATAAAACAGCTGTTAAAAAATGCGCATTTGACCACCACGTTAAAATTAAATAGTTTTACGCGTCTTTTGGAAAAAATATTAGATAGGATTTATAAATTAATTTTTTTAATAAAAAAATACTTGTTTTAACATTAAAAATCCCCTTCCCTTTCTGGATTGATTGGATGAAATAGATTTGATAAATCTGAAGTAATATTCTCTCCCCCCCCCCCGTTGTATTAAGGACTCAAGAGTTAATCTAAAAGGTATTTCAGCATTTTGTCGATACTTTGCTTAATGCAATGAAGGTTATTTTCAACGTCACTATATATAATATGCATTTAAAATAGCAAATAATTATAAAATATAAATAATCGTTTAAATACGCATATTACATAAAATTATCAGGAAATAATTAGTTTTTTTAAGTAAATGATCGACTTTGTAATATAATACTTTATTTTCTCACAACATCAAGTGAAAATCTAACCAAACCACCATTAGTAAACCAAATAAACGCGACGGTTATTAATTTTTGAAGTCGGTAACAATAATTAAAACGGGATAATATATTGAAAAAAAAAATTATTTATTCTTTGTGGATGCAGTTCATACAAATTAGTCAATAAGTTGATTGAAACACACAATACCAAATAATTTTTTTTTTGTTCGGCTAATTATATCACATACTCCAAAAACAAAAATTGAGCACAATTTTAAAAATAGGTATGCAAAACAAAAATAATTTTCAAGGTAAAAAACAAACAAACAATTGCAATTTAGTGAGATAATCGCTATCGCTTGTAACTGTAAGCAGACGCCGTCATAAATCAGTGAAAATTTTCACCGTAATTTGTGTATATCAAAAATAAAGAAAAAAAATAACTTATATATTCCAACAACGCACAACTGGTAATTTGGTCGCAAACACTGCTCTGAATCGAGTAACAGAGATATTATTGATTTAAGAAATAGACAAAGTTTTATTAATTTTTCTTTTTCTTCAGTTCGTTGGAAAGCCAGTCTAAACCTTCATATAGCCCATCACCACTTGTTGCACAAGTTGCTTGAATATACCAACTCCTGTTACGAATGTTGTGTAATCCTAATTTATCTGTAACTTCAGCTGCATTCATAGCATTTGGTAAATCCTACAAACATTTTTTAATAAAAATAGTGATAATAGTATATAGATAATGTCTATGTACCATACACACAAAAAAATAAAACAAACCTGTTTATTTGCAAAAACAAGAAGAACGGCATCACGCAACTCGTCTTCGTTAAGCATTCTATTTAATTCTTCTCTGCCCTCACCAACACGCTCTCTATCATTTGAATCCACAACAAAAATCAGACCTAAATCCAAATTAGTGTCAGTTATTACAAATTTAAAAGTTAATCATTCAATTTCATCTAGTTTTTAAAAAAGCGAAGATCAATTTTTTTTATTATTACTAATTCACCAATCCATGACAATAGGAAACAATAAGCATCAATTACAGAGAAGTGTACATTTAATTTCTTATTCCAAAATTTTATAACGAGAGCCTTCTAGGAGAGGCTGTGGAAACAGCACAGTATAACTAAGGAAATGGTAAACAATATGTTCTTTCAAAACTTATTATTTAAAAACTAGATAAAACTAGAATGCATACTAAAACATCAATATATACTGATATGAAAACTATAATTATGACCAGGAGTAGTTATCAGAAATCATCTTTAGGTTAGCAACAGCAAACCTCATTTACATAGTTATAGCACCAAACAATCAAATTCTATCACATTTATTACTTTATAGCCTTTGTTAAAACCTTTGTTACATTTAAGAAAACCTCAAAGTTTTAAGTAATGAAATAGGCATACAAGCTCTACGAGGGCGCATTATCAACCCACTCTGACAAAAGAGTTGACATTGCAAAGATACAGAAATACTTGTGAAATATATATTTCTTTTTTTTGAATATTGTTTCTGTGTACAAATCGCTAGAATTTGATCAAAAAACTCTTTTTGATCAAATTCTAGCGATTTATTTGTTCAAGATAGTTTGTCAAAACTTTTTTGTTTGTAAAACATGATTTTTTCTATAATTTGAATCTGAGGAGTAACGCCAACTTTAGATGTTTAAGCGATTTTTGGTGTTGTTCTTGAGCAAATCTTTGATTATTTGATAGTTCAGTGACCAAACTATCAAAGAAACTATTATTATTGGTTTTATAGTATAAGGAGAGATTTCATCCACAATTGATATTGGTTTTATGCCGTCTCATACCTTTATTGGTTCAAAGTGGAATTTTATAAATAAAATTATATAAAAAAAAAAAAACTTAGAATAAAACTTTAATGAACAGATTTAAATAAGTTAAATAAAAACAGTATAAAAAAATACTTTATATATATAAATTATAATTTAAATATAATAAAAAATTTGAACTGTTTTAACCAATCAAAAACGTTAAAACAAATTATGTGACTTAATATATAGATATAATAATAAACACCATTAATAATTCACAACTTTGATTATCGTTTTAAAATGGCTAGTCAAAGCTGACAATTTCAACCATGAGATAAAACACAAAATTAAGTAATAAAACTTTTTAAGTAAACAAAAATAACTCCTAAAATGCAAACTTGAAAGAAAGTTCTAAATTTAATTTTTGGCCCTAAGGCAAGGCCAAGGACTAACAACTTTGCAACAAGCAGAGTTGTTAGTCCTTGAGTTCATAAATTTTTTACTCATTGAATTAACTAGAAGGGGATAGAGTCAGAGAAAAAAGTCTAGATTTTCAACACTAGAAATACAGAAAAAAATTATAATAACAAGAATAGCTAAAAGAAACAATTCAGAGTTAGCAACAAACTCTCAATATTTAAAAAAAAACATATATATAGTACTAAACACTATACTACTTGAAATGGTTTTTTCCAGAAATTTATACATTTTTTTATCATTTCTTTTCTTACCATAACTTTTGATTTTATCTGATTATTTTATGTTACTTACATTTTTTTCTTTCAATAAGCTTTTTTTGAGATTGAGACACCATTAATAATCTTAGAAGAACTTAGAATTCTTTCTTAATAAAAGGAACAACACTGAAGGTGGTTATTTTTAGTTTTGCCACCATATTATTAACAACATGATTTGGGTACTAAGCTATGTAGCAATAACATTTTGTCTTGAATAAACAAAATGAAACATTAAAAAAATAGAGCATGGAATGTTAACTCTAGAAGAAATAATCCTACTAAAGTTCACCTCAAAAGAGCTCTCTTAAAGGAATTTAAATTTAAAGAATATTTAAGACTTAAAATAGATTAAATAATCAAACAACCTAAAAAACACCCAAAAGAATGAGGAAAAAAAAAAGAGTGCAAACCCTCTACACATTATGCTCATGATTTCTCTTTGCATAGCATTCTTTCTAGACATGTCTCCAATTTCATTGAATTGAGAAAGGTTTGTAATCAAAATTAATAATTATTATCATCAAATATTTTAAAATATAATTTTCCAAGCAAATAATTATAATTAAAAAAAAAAAAAAATGAGTTTATACCTTGAGTGTTTTGAAAGTAGTGCCTCCATAAGGGTCTAATTTTATCTTGGCCACCAACATCCCACACAGTAAAACTAATATTTTTGTACTCAACTGTTTCAACATTGAAACCTGAAAAAGTTTTTTTAGAATACAAACAACAATAATAAAACTATTTACTAGACACATACATATACAGGGCTCGAATTAGGCGTATGGCAATCGCGATTGCTTTTCACATCTTCGCGATTAGTTTTTTTGTAAAAAAAATATTTTTGAGATTTGTTTTTTTTTTGCTGTTGTTTATATACTTTTTTTCTAGTTTAGCATTTATTTGGCAATTCTTGAAAAGTATTGTTTTTTTTATAAAATGATGATCATTTGCAATTTTGTGCAAAGATTTTTATTTAAATTTAAATTACTTTAAATCTCTGCGTGGAAGCCAAGCCTTTTAAATTTTATTATATTTAAAAGGTCGTTAAAGCAAAAATTGAAAAGGGAAAAGACGTTAAAGCGAATTTATTCTTCATTCATTTTTTTAAAACAAAAACAGCCTGATTTTTATCTTTGTCTTTCAAAACGTTGCACCAAATCAACTTATTATTAATGATTTAAGTTATTATTTTATCAACATTTCATATTATTTTACTACTTTAAGTATATTGAAATATATATTAAATTGTTTTTATTTTTTTTTTTCAAATACTTAATCAATGCTAATAGAAACCAGCAACTTTTTTGCATCAACGATTTTAAACTTATTCTTAAACTTAATGAAATATAATTCGATTTATTAAACCAAATTTTTTTGTTTCACTTTTTGTTCGAAAACAATCTGAATAAAAAAGTTGAATGAAAATATCAATTTAAAAACCATTTAAATGAAAAACTTAATTATACTTAAATTTTATAAGTCCTCTAGATCAAGAAACAATAAATTATAAAAAAAAATGGTGTCTAACTTTTTTTTTTTTAATCTTACACGTTTGGTCTATAGATTATAGACTTGTATGGTCTATAGAAATGTTTTTGCGCAAATATTAAGTTTTATGAAGATAATTTTTTAATTTATTAAAAAGAACAATTTCATTTATTTGTTTTGTTTTACTTTAAACACGTTTTATGTTATTAAGGTTATAAATTGTATAAAACAGCAACAAAACATCGTCACAAAGTTGTTTTACATTAACACAAGCTATTCACCTTTTTAAAATAACTTTGCAGATTGTTTTAATGTTGATTTATAGCTTTTTACAATAACAATTAAATACTCTTAAAAAACAAACAGGGGTTTTATCATCAGCATGAACGTATCAAATAGTTTTCTATGATTAATTAAAGTGGTTTAAATATTGTAATGTTTATTTTTAACTCTTAGTTTTTTACAGATAGTATTTAAATCATAGTCATAAGAAAGTATTTATATCATAATCATAAGAATGAAACACTTTTTATGACTATGTTTAAATATGAGAGATAATATGTTAAAAAAAAAAACAATTATGTACAAAAGGTGCTAACGCACCCCCCCCCATTACCACAAAGCGGCGCGAGCTATAATGAGGAAGGAGAAGTCCAAAAATTTTTTTTTTCGCGATCAGATTTTTTTCGCGATAAATCGAGCCCTGATATACATACAAATATAATTCAAAATATTAAGGTTTTATATTATCTAATATATTATTTAGACCTAACCTAGACATAACTCATTAATACTATTTTTTAAAAAGTAAAATTATAAGGATAATAATAGTATATTTTTATTTAAAATATTGGTTTCATGTTTATATTAATAATTAATATTTAAGTTAGATGTTATTTAACAACAAAACAATAAACATAGCTGACATTGAAATTAATGAAATTTAGTAAACTCTTTTACTTGAATACTTAACTATATCTATATCTATATATATCTATATATCTGTACCTCAGAGTTCAACTATCATAACTCACACTTGACAAATTTTACAGGAGAGCCAAATGAAGTTACTACACTTATTTTTCTATTAAGAAACAGCTTTTTTTAATTTTAAAATTTATATTTAAAGTTCCTCATACATTTCATACAGTGGGTTTGAATAATTCATTTACCACTAAAAGAAGTAGGTCTCCCTGTGCAGTTAAGATAAAACCTGCAAATCAGCAATTTTGCAGTTACGATAACTGACCACTGGGGTACACACACACATTATTTCGAGTTAGAGTTACGTAAAAAAACAATTGCAAAAGTATTGAACTGATTCATCAGGCTTGGTCGAGAAGCGGGAGCGATCGCTCTATAATACTGACCACGGAAATTATATTTAGTTGTGAAAAACTGGCCAGGTTTTTTGGTTGTTTTGAGAACATTTAAGTTTATGTATGAAACAATAAATTCTGGTTTTACGGACAAACATGGAAACATAAAAAATTTGAATGTTCTCAAAACATCTTGGTGCGGAAGAATGAAAAGAATATTCGCGAACTCTAAAAATCCGCTAAATTAACGAACAAACTGATTCTATTGGTTAAAAAATACACTGACTAAGCCAAATAAAGTTCTAGAGTATTATGTTGAAATGTTGTATAAATTGTTTTATTCATGATTTGTTATGTTTTGAGATTTCTAGCATAGATTGTTATAAGAATATATTATTAATTCTATCGCTTATTCTCGGAGCCACATCTGCATAGCCATAAATCTTATAAACTATTATTATTTGTTTACATAAAAGTTTTAAATATATATTATTTAAACTGTCAAAATTTTGAAAGTTTATTATAAATTTTAGATTTTATTAGTATATACTTATTTAAAGAGTATGTATTTTTTATGTAAATGTTATCTGTTTAGTGTATCTGTTTTTTATCGATTTAATTTGTAAACAAAGACTTACAAAAATAATTGCGTTTTCAATGAAGTTATTATTAATCATTAAAGTTAATTAAACTAATTATGTAGCAAACATGTAAGAAGATTCTGGTTACTAAACACAAACTATGCATTCAAAGTAACTCGAACAAGCATGATGAACAAGCACCGCGCCTGAGGTCACAACAGAACATAAATATATATAGCAAGTTACTAGATGTAAAGACAAGTTTCTAGATATTGGTTCACTAAATCGAATTATTTTCGGTTAAGTTGCCATTCTTAAAAACTCGTTATATATTTTTCTGCTTTATATACTAATTAAAATTAAAAAGCCCACTCACTAAACATCATTAGCGATATTGTGAAGCAGTTTCGCTTCCTTGTCATAAAATTATTTTTAACTTTTTTAATTGATTTCTATCTAGTAAATTTAATTTCTTTAGTAATTCAATGATTTAACTATTTCATTTGTTTTTCTTACTAAGAAGAATTGTTTCAAAGATGTTAAACTTTTCAAACAAACAAAAGAATAGGTATTAAACAAATTAATTTTTTTATTTATAAAATAATTTAGCTCAGATAAACCTAAAACTTGCAAACTTTGATAAATAAAGAACATTTTTAAGTAAACGTAAGATGTTACTTAATATAAAAAACGTCGCTTAATTTTATAAAAAAATTATAAAAGAGCGATGTTTCGAAAATATTTGTTTTAAACGTAATTTATTTTCCTTTAAGTTTTTTTGCGTTAAAAGATATTTTATTTTCCTAATTTTTTTTTTTTTGTAATTGTCTCTTATCGGTCCAATTAATCTTCGCATTTTTTTTTTAAATGTTCTCAAAACGACTAAAAAATCTGGCCAGCTTTTCACAACTAAATATTATTTCCGTGGTCAGCAATCGAGAGTGATCGCTCTCGTTTCCCGACCAAGCCTGATTCATTACAAATAATTAACAAAGGAAAATTTAAAAAACTGGTGGCACTCTTCATGAGTGATTTTTCATAACATTTATAACAGTTATTAAATTGAAATCAGTTTTCCGCAAGACCAAAAACAACTATAAAAAAATTATTTTAGTATTACAACTTAATACTTATTTAAGTCGAATAAATAAGAAAATTTTTGGTTTGTCAAAGTTTTTACTTACACTCCTTACGTTTATGCGTATTGCCTTTTTCATTAGGTTGAATTTTTAAAATGCTGCAAAATATTTACATTTAAATCTTTTGAAATATTTTTGAGAAAAACTGCTATCACAGTTTAGGAATGAGAGGGTTTCAGGTATATGTGATCATTTGTGACAGGAAGGAAGGGGTTAAAATGCTGCAAAATATTTACATTTAAATCTTTTGAAATATTTTTGAGAAAAACTGCTATCACAGTTTAGGAGGGAGAGGGTTTCAGGTATATGTGATCATTTGTGACAGGAAGGAAGGGGTTAAAAATTGACAAATATAGTGTGACGTGCATTATAGATGACCCATAATTGCATTTAAAAAACAATTTTTTTTTTACCAAAACAAAAACCAAAAAAATTTTAAGTGTTTTTTTTTAAAAATGTTTTTTAATGTTAATAGCAAATAAATCTCTTTTTTTTTAATGTATAAATACAAATATTTATATAATTCTTATTTTTATTTATTTATGTCAAATAAAATAAGAATAAATAAACAAATAAAAAAGCAATATAAATAATTTTAATTAACATTAAAAAAAACTAGAGATTTTTTTTGAAATTCTTTTAATACAAAAAGTTTCAGCTAGAACCTTGTAAACAAAATAATAATTACTTAATGATGTAATTCATTTTATTCACGAAAAGCGCCAGAACTTAAGTAAATGCTTGTAGTTTTAACTTATGTTACACAAATTTAAAATAAAATTCTAACTAAGCATTGTTATTCAAAACTTTAAATGCAAAAATGTATCATTTTATTCTTTTGCATATATTATTAAAAAACTTATGTTTTTTACTCTTGACTATTTCTACGAGATAACCAAGAGGACCATTTGGTATTTTTTTAGTCATTTTTACACTGTGACACATTAAAAAGGCCACCAAAATAATGCAGCCCCTGGCCCTGAAAAGTCAAACAAAATTAATATATATATATATATATATATATATATATATATATATATATATATATATATATATATATATATATATATATACATATATACATATATACATACACACACACACACACACACACGCACACACACATATATATATATATATACACACACATATATATATATATACACACATA